TGCCTTAAGTGGACTTCATGGTTTCTCATATGTATCAAGGTATCCTCATGTCAAATTTCAAGTCTTGCAGTAAAAATTTGCTCAGTCAATTACTCAGATGATTGAAAATCAACTATTTTGAGTAAAAAGTCAATTGTAGTCAACATATAGTCAAACTTCAAGATTTTTGGTCAACATCAAAATTTTGGAGTTACATTCACCATTTGATCAAGGGTTGATCATAACTTATCAAGAAAACTCAAGATTCATCAAAAGTCAAAAGTTGGTAGATTGGGGTTTTCTTTAGGAGAAGTCAACTGAACTTTGACCAAGCATAAATTTCACATGCTTCATAAGAAAATTCTCAACCAAAGATTATTTTGAAGCAAATACAATTCTCTATAACTTTGTCTCTCTAAGCTCAAGGCTTAAAAATGCTTCATTTGAGAGATATGAGCCAAGACATTATAGCTCATTTTAAAAGGCAACAAAAAGACATTTTTTATCAAAGCAATTTACATCAAGATAAAGTATTCAAATGAAAAAATTATTAACAAAAGAGTTATAGGGGACATCTTGAGATTTCCAAAAAGTCCAAGATCACGTTCATATGATAAAAATTGAGCAAGTTATGAATTGCATAAGTTGGAAATTTTGAGAAAATGCATGAACCCAAATTGATCAAACTTGAAGTTTTGGGCTAACGGACCTATCTTTCAAGGTCCAAACATGTTCTAGACCTCATAATGGACCTATAAACCCATTCATGATCCATGCTAATTTTTTTATCTTATTTATTTTTATTTTTATTCATTTAAATTCAAATTAAATCAAAAAATATCAAATGGAGGTGCAAGGCTTAAATGGCTTAAAATTTGATTTATTTTGGGGCCCCAAGATCATACAAAAACCGTGTGAGCTTATTCTTGCATCAAATCTTATTCTTTTGTCTTAATCAAGATCTATTTTCAAACAAAATCAAAAGTTCTCATACAAAGTCCAATCCCATCTTTTAACCAATTCATGGCCTATAAATATACATTATATTCAGACATGACAACCACGAAAAAACCTTGCAGGAGAATCCTCTCAAAACTATCAAATTTTTTCCAAATTAGGGCAAACTTGAAATCATTGTTCCAGCCCTTCTCAAAGCAAACTAGTTGTTCCAAACAATTCCTAAGGTGTTATAGGATAAGACTTAATTATCCTTGATGATGAAAAGTGCATAAAACATGGCTGTTGACATATTTTCATGAATTTCGATTTTGTATTTTTACCATGCTTTGATCCATACTAATGCTTTTATTGTATTTCTGAGATGTAACTATACAAGTTTAACCCATCACATGGCCCCCATGATGACAAAATCATGGATCAGCATTCTTGAACCAATCCACATTGTTTTCTTTGTATCTCATTATGCAGGGAGAATTAGTCAAACCAAGGGCACCATTGAATTCACAGTCCTCAAATTAGGGGGTAGGGTCCCTTTGGATCACTAACAGTTGTTGTTTTGCAGGTTTATGAAATATGCTCGCCAGAAAAGACGACCAGAGCTAGGGCTCTGGCGCTTCTCCGGTCACTTTGATCAGATTTATATTATATATATTTTGGTTTGATTAAGTTAATGGATGTATAACCACCCCAGTGGCAGAAGCGCGCACATTAAGGCATTACTATACAAGGGCGTGAGTTCGATCCCTGCCTTTTGCTATTTTTTCTTCATATTTTACCAATTCATGCAGGTTTCTCATATTATGTAATGCACTTATTTTCGTAACACAAACGCAGCGTTGACGCAGTGGATGGAAGGCGTGCCTGTGTCTTTCAGGGCGTGTGTTCGACACCCACCCCATGCACTATTTTTCTGCCCTTTTTTTACTAACCCTGTTTTTTTTTCCTTTTTTAAAATTATTTTCCTTTTAATTAACTAACCCTAATAATTTTCTAAACCCTAATCATTTTTAATTAACCTAATAATTTTCTAATAACTAATTAAGTTAGGGTTTAAGTTTTTTTTGTAATAATTAAAATTTTATTTTTTTATTAATTAAATTAATTAAACCTTTTTTTAAAAAATATTAAAATCAATTAGAATTTTAGGTTTTTATTAATTATTATCATAAACTATTTTCTTCATAAAAAATCACCGAAAACATTTTCTTTTATATTTTCCTATTTTCTATTTTCTAGATTAATTGTATAGGTCGTACATTCCTTATATAATAGCTTATGTTTATAGTTTTCTCGCACTTTTTTTCCTATTATGTAATTGCTCCGAGTATGTAATAGTTTTAGAGTTTTATTTTCCGCATCTTTATTATGTAACTGCACCGAAGCCATGTAATAACGTATGACCTTTATTTTTCGCACATTTATATTTCTGTTGTATTGTATGCTGTTAGTAATTAGGCGTGTATGACAAGATAATAATCAACCGATAGCATAAACCTTACAAGATAAAATAACTGAATTGAATCACAATTCACACTTGCACCTCTAGGGTAACCTCTCTTCGTTGCCTTGCAGATAATTGGTCACGTCCCTCGAAAATAGGGATACTTTAGCAAAGTCCATTCGAATAAAAGATCATAGTCTCTCAATGACCCTTCGATGTTGCCTACGAACAAATGATCTAGTCCCTCCGATAATTACTAAAGTATCCTTATCTGTTGCCTTCGATGATCATACGATGATCATCGATTGTCTCTTCACATCCAATAGATGGGGCTACCTACCAACTAATGGTACATATCACACTATCACTAAAGGAGAAAGAAAATAACAAGAACGACCTTGAGTGGGTAAGACTATTAATCGCTCGCTCACAACTTTTCTAAAAAACATTTTCACACATCATTTTCAAAAATGTTTTCTAAAACACTTTGTACGCGTTCTTGAGGACTGATACAAGAACCATCACAAAGATAGCCATACTTTGGCTTTTTCAAAATATTTTCAAACACTTACACTAAAAAAGCAATTTTCAAAAAGTGAGCTAGCGATTAAGAGCACATAGATAGCTACAGGTCAAAAGGGTGCTAACACCTTCTCTTTTCATATCTTACCCCCCGAACTCAAAATCTATCAAGGTATTTCCTATTCTTTTCACCTTTCCTTATTGGATAAAAGAAAAGTCGGTGACGACTCTAGTTATCCGCACATCTATGATAAAATGTAAAAGTCAGTTCTCCCACCGTATTACGCTTTGGATCTGATTACTTAAGTGAGTCAGACTTCATCCAACGCGCCACATTTAAAGTTACATTTAATTTTATAAATATTGATCATGTGTAATTTTCAAAAGGGTCCATATCAAGCACAGTGCGTTAGGTCCTTTGGATCTGGTTACTAACGCATTTTGACTATGATCAGATGATCCACATTATTTTGACATTATTTTTATTTTCTGATTTTTTTGATTTAATTGTTTTTAACTTCAAAAATTCATAAAAAATTATTTCAACTTCTAAAATTTTGAAACAATTCTCAAAAATACTTTCGATTTTTCTCTTTCTGATTTTTATTTTTCATAATTTTATTTTATGATTTGATATTTTTTTTTAATGATTTTTCACTTTATTTGACTTCTTTTAATTGATTAAAAATACTTTTCTTGATTTTAAAATTTTGGAAAAATTCTAGAAGGATCCAATGACCTCTTGACAAATATTGATGACCTCATTTTATTTTCATTTCTGATTTTAATATTTTTTTCATGATTTTTGGTTTATTTTGCATATTTATTTAAATTTTAAAAATAGTTTCTGACTTAAAAAAAATTCCAAAATTTTTTTTCAACACTTAAAAACTCATGTTTGACTTCTGACTATTTTTTGAGATTTTTATTTGATGATTTAATATACTTTGTCTATTTTACCATTTATTTTCTTTTTATTAACCATTTAAATATTGTTTTATTAAATATTATTTTATTATTTATTTGATCCTGACTTTGGTGTTATTTTGAGGCAAATTGCTCAACCTCATTGGATCTTGGGTCTTGATAGGTTGAAATACCAAATTCACCAAAATAGATGGATGATATTGATGATATTTGAAACCCCAATTTAATCTAATACATCTCATTCCTCTTCATCTTATCCCTTTCTTACTTATGCTATATGTTGTTGGAGAATAATCTACATATCATTTCTTTGAACATATAATACATAGATTGCTATTAACCGACTTCAAAATATATGTAATTTTTACATAAATCCACTTACGATTGCTTAATATAATGCTAAATTTATCTCAATGTGAGAAATAATCATTAGTGAGAAATATAAATATACGATAGAAAGAAATAAGACAATATAAAGATAAATATAAAAAAACATTGATAAATATTTAAATAATAAATTAAAAACTAAAGTAATTTTAATTTATATTATAAATCCAATTAAGCATTTATATAACAAGATTTATTTATTTGACGCCACATATTAAATGAAGCAGTCACGTGTACAAAAGTAGAGAAGACTAAAAAAAAATCTCTAGAATTATAAAAATACTTAAAGAGTGATAAAAAAGCTGAATTTTAAATTAGGAGATTAAAGAGTTAAAATCATAAAAATAGTGAAGTTTTTAATTCTAATAATAAAAAGCCACCAACTTCGTTTTGATTTATGAACTCCTCCAACATCTTTTACATACTTACATTAAAAAACATTATTATAAAACTGTCCAAAAAGACAACAAAATAAAAAAAGACAACAACGTATGAACTCTCATCCACAATCACTTTCACTTTCTCACTTCAAATGCGGGAGTTCATTTTTCCTCTTTCACTTCCACACCCAGTTTCTAATTCACCTCTTTCTCTTAAAGCTTTCACCTTTTTGTAACTAGTTAGATCTGATTTTGGACCCATTATGAGTGTTGGTAGTGCTAAATTTTCATACATTTTTAGAAGGAGTGAAGTGAATGAGAATAATGGGGTTGTTTTGTGCAATGTTTTAGAGTGTTGAAGTTGAGAAAGTTTCAATTTTGAAGTGGTGGATGTGCATGTGAGAATGGAGGGGCGTATGAAGAAGAATAGACAAGTGAGTCCTGAGAGGGCTAAAGTTTGGACTGAGAAATCACCGAAATATCACCAGAATCTTAAGGTGCCTGTGGTGTATTATCTATGTCGAAATAGGCAACTAGAACATCCTCATTTCATGGAGGTTTCACTTTCTTCTTCTTCAGATGGGTTGTATTTGAGAGGTACAAAATTGAGATTTTTTTTGGGAATGTGGTTGTTGATTTATGTTCTTTTGGATTGTGATTTTTGAGGAATTGTTATGTTTGTAGATGTGATAGATAGACTAAATGCTTTGAGAGGTAGAGGCATGGCTTCCTTGTATTCATGGTCTTGTAAGAGGTAAAGCAAGTTATTGCATTTTCTATGTTCTAATTTTGTACTATTGTTCAATTTATGTGTTTTTACGTTGAGAAAATGGAGGGTCACCAATGATTGTTTCCGTTATGCCAATGTTATTCTCAACATTGATATGTTTGTCCTTCCTGTAATTCAGAAGCTACAAGAATGGATTTGTGTGGCACGATCTTTGTGAAGATGATCTAATTCTACCAGCCCATGGAAACGAGTATGTCCTCAAAGGCTCAGAGCTCTTTGATGAATCCAATTCAGGTAGAGTAGAAAACTTGTTTTTTAATCTACAAAAAAGACGATGATTTGATAGGTCAATGGTCATGAATGGTATTAAATTCCTGCGTTTTTCTCTGCAGATCGGTTCAGTCCCATTAACGATGTTAAGATACAAAGCGTGAAGCTGTTGCCAGGGCCAGCTTCTTGTCGGAGTCACGATGAAGCTTCCTCCTCTTGTAGCATGAATGGAAAAGAAACAAGACACTCTCAGGACGACGAACCTTCCCAAGAACAACATACGGGTTCATCTGATGTTTCTCCGGAGTCGAGAGCTGAAAAGAGCGGTCCAGCAAGCTTAGCATTGACAGAGTACAAAATTTTTAAGACAGACGGATTGGCAGATGCTTCAACTCAAACAGAAGAAAATATCAGCAGATCCAGAACTCGGAAAACTTGCACAAGAGGTGTATCAACCGATGACGGGTCGCTAGAATCCGAATGCCGTGAAATATGTCCAACCGAAGTTCCACAAGTGAAACATAATCCAGAAATCTGCAAAGATACGATTTCTCCTTCAACCACGAATTCAAGTCCTTTATCTTTTGGAGGGAAGATGGAAACTTTGGAATCTTTGATTAGAGCTGATGCTAGTAAAGCGAACAGCTTTCGGATTCCGGAAGAGGAAGATATTCCTATGCCAACCAATACAAGAGCGAAGGCCTCAAATTTGCTGATGCAACTGATATCTTGTGGCTCAATATCGGTGAAAAACCACAGTTTTGGCCTTATTCCTTCCTATAAGCCTAGGTTTTCGCATTCAAAATTCCCTTCGCCGCTGTTTTCAACTTCTTTCGTGTTAGGAGATTTTGATTGCTTAGCAGAGAATCCAAAGCTGATGAATCTTAGATTGGAAGACAAGGAATGTTTTAGTGGGAGCTTAATCGAGACTAAATTGAAGGAGGCTGATGCGCATAATGCTCTCAAACGCTCTTCTTCTTATAACCATGAGCGGTATGTTTTGCTTTCAAATCTTCTATTGTTATGATCTTCATTGTTGTTTATTTGGATTGCCACATAGTTCTCTCATCATATCTCGACGAATTCACAAATATGCAGGACAAGTAAAGAAGAAAAACCAATAGACGACAAAGAGGAACCATCCCTGGGACGTATAAAATGCATTCCGCGGTCAATCAAAGCTTCACTAACCAAGCATCCACGAAGCGAATCCATGAGATCCCCTATTTCTGATAGACCAAGAACTTCATCCGACCGAATCGACGGCTCCTGCATATCCTCAATCTCATCCAACAATAACAGCCAAAGAATCACCGAACCTTGGTCAACGAAAAAGCAATCAAAGAGGATAGATTCATTTCGGGAAGACGAGGTGATCAGAATCGAAGAAAGTTAAGTGTTGACTCTCTATCTTGTTTATTATAGCTTTCATAGTCATAGACTAATAAGTTTTGATGTCTGTTACACATAACAGGCTTGCCTCAGGAGCTCGGGTTATAATCCAATCTAAACCTTTCTGCGACACCGCGTCCGGTAGCCGATAAAATATTAGTTTTCATTGTCTATCAGGTTTAGTTTTAATGCAAAATGATTGTATATAGTTTGATAGGTTCATATAACCTCTCTTAACCCTACAAAATGAAAGAACCAATTCACTTTTAACCAGAACCAGTTCTACAAAATCAATTCACTCGGAATCGGAATCAATTTTACCGCAAAACCAAACACACAGTGATTCATATGAAAGAGAGGTAGTTGTGTAGGTTAGTTCTAGTGGTCCATTTCTTATAACTATATTGTGCTAGCTAGAGAGGGACTTGATATTGACATTCAAAGATGGTGAAAAAGTAATATGGTAGTTTTCAAGCCCATATCTTGCAATTGTCACACTGATAATGTAAAATGCAATGACTGTGACATAAAGTTGGTTTAAAGCTACTTTTATTTATGAACCTTTTGTAAGCACCAAAAGAGAATTTTCTCTACATAGTTAAAATATTCAAAAGTGTTGGTTTTCTTTCTTGAAAACCAAAATGTCTTTTGACAAAAAATGATAATAATTGAAGTTGAAAAATTTGAAATAGTCAAATCCCTTGTGTCCCTACTCCACTCTATCTGCTGCAGACATGCAAAAATATATCATAAATTAAAGCTTACAATCTAAAAGCTTTTTTTGTCATGAAAGGTATATTTGAATAATTGTCCTTTCATGCTTTTGTCTGGTTATTGAGATCTTGTGTGACCCTTAAAATCATTCCTTTACTCAATTAACATATCTTGGACTTCACTCAAAGCAAAGGGCATGAAGGCTACCATGAGACTGTTTTGCAAGTAAAAATAATACAGTTAAAAAACTCACAACTATAACTTACAAAACTACATAATTAAAAAAAAAGAAAAAGTTTACTAACCTTTATTTCTTTTGAGTTTATAGTTTTATTTTAGTAAGATATCATATTCTTTTGTTAAGTTAGTTAAATTAGCTTGCAATTCTTTATATGTTTTTTCCATGTTAGCTCAATTGAAAATAAATAAAGATTATTAATTTATCTTTTTTAATATCATATTAATTTATAATCTAGATCAACGGTTAAGTCAATCAATGAATGTTACAAGTTCAATCAAAATTTTTTTTTTAATAATATTTTTATTGATGTGAAATTGAAAGGTTCAATCAAACTAAGATATATAATGCGGGGAGACAAAGAACAAATGACTTTTAGCAAAAATAATTTTGTATGTAATAAGACAACAATTTAATTTGACAGAAGAAAATACAAGACAAGAAACACAATAGCTTGTTTATCTAATTCAATCAAATGATTCACTATGGAAAGAGAATTGCATTCTGATTCACTGTACTTTTAAGAGTTGTTACAAAAGATTAAAATTGAGTTACAAATAAAATAATCACATAAGTTTCTAAAAACAAATCCTATTTTTCTACGTAAGTGTTTCTCAATCTCTTAACCAATGGGTAGAGAGAGAAACCCTCGCATCAGACTCCAACATCTCCAACCACCAAAGTCATCTGATATCATCATATAAACACTCTTTTCTCTTTTTTTCTTTCTTTCTAGAAACAACAGGTTCAACGGAGTGGCAGAAGGTACAAAGAAGAGGATTTAGAAATTTAGCTAAAAAATGGGATTCTTATCCAACGGGTAGAAGGGCACATGATGGAACATTGAACCATTGAACCCGTTATCTTCTATTTTTTTCCCAGAAATTCCGAATCGGTCTAAAGCTTTAGAATTGTTAAAACTCTTTGGTAGTTTTGGTAACATCGTCAAGGTCGTAATCCCACCTAAGAGAAATAAGTTTGGAAAAATATTTGGTTTTGCGAGGTACAAAAATGTTGAAGACGCTAGATTACTTATTGTTAAACTGGAAACGTGTTTATCGACGGGAAAAAGATACATGCAAACACTCCAAGGTTTCAAAGGAGTGAATTGGATTCCAGAACATGGGGAAAAGGGGTTAGGCATAGGGTTGATCCACCTAGTTCATCTGGATTGCTACCCAGAAGGAGGTTTGTGCTTGAGGGTAAGGTTGGTAGTAGATCCTTTGCAGACGTTATAACACCCTGTTTTCCCCCATCCCATAATTACATAAATCAAAGTAAATTAAACTTTTTATCACAATAAAATAGGATGTCACATCATTCATCATACTTACAATTTGCTCAATATTTAATAATTTGACACATAACACACATTTCGGATGAATCGACAACATCATCATCATAATTATCAATATCTCGACTTCATTAACGCAACGGAAAGGAATTCATAATTTAATTCCATCATCATCGATTCGTCATATGACCAACAATTCTCAATTAAAAAAGAGTCTACAAAGCTCCCAAAAATTCTTCAAAGAAAACATCAATTAAATAAAACAAGCGTTCATCCCCGGTGTTACAGTGTTACGTATCAGAGCAAGACACGACTCAATATATGCAATACGATGCATAACTCCATACCTCAAGCGATCTAATCTTTGTTAATGAATAGAAGGGGTGAGATATCATAACAATATAATGAATGTATGACAATGAATAGATAAAGCATAGCATACATAATCATAATCTCATACTTCATGCATCAACACTAAATACACATCATCATTTCATCAGCTCAGATGCATGTAAAAAAGAAAAGTTTGCAAAACACCATTTCAAATAAAAAAATGTTGTTTCTACCTCGAGACGATTAGAACTTCTGCATATAGATCTGTTTGGACCAGTGAAAACTACATCCATCAGCGGAAAGAAGTATGGATTAGTGATCATTGATGACTATAGAAGATGAACATAGGTAAAGTTTTTAAGACACAAGGACGAGTCAAAGTTCGTGTTCTCTACTTTCTGTAACCAAGTTCAGAATGAAAAAGAGTTTAGAATTGTAAAAGTCAGAAGTGATCATGGTGGAGAGTAAAAATAAAAGTTTTGAAAAGTTTTTTTAATGAAAATGGAATTTCTCATGACTTCTATTGTCCTAGAACTCCCCAACAAAACAGAGTTGTAGAATGAAAGAATAGAACTTTACAAGAAGTGGCCAGAACCATGATCAATGAGACTAACATAGCTAAAAACTTCTGGGCAGAAGCAGTTAACACAACATGCTACATTCATAATAGAATCTACATAAGACCTATTCTGGAAAAAGACTCCATATGAACTATGGAAGAACAGAAAGCCCAACATTTCTTACTTCCATCCATTTGGATATATCTGTTTTATGTTGAACACCAAAGAACATCTGAACAAGTTTGATTCTAAGGCACAAAAGCGTTTTATGTTAGGATACTCTGAATGCTCAAAAGGTTATAGAGTATCTAACACAGAAACACGAATTGTGGAAGAATCCATTAATGTCAGATTTGATGATAAGCTTGGTTCTCAAAAGTCAAAGCAGGTTGAACATTTTACAGATATAGAAGTTCAAATTACAGGTACTGAAGACAGATCTTCTGAAGACAAAAACTCGGAAGCTCAGTCCAATGCAGAAAAAGACATCAACATCGACACTATATAAACTTTTGAAGAACCCATCCAGAAAAGACAGTCCAGAAGTAGATTATCACATCCTAAAGATATGATTCTGGGAAAGAATGATGATTCAATTAGAATAAGATCTACGTTCAGAAATACTGAATAGTCTCTCATGGGATTAGTATCTCTGATCGAACCAACCTCCATAGACGAAGCACTTCAAGACAATGATTGGATAATTGCAATGCAGGAAGAACTAAATCAATTTACCAGAAATGATGTATGGGATCTAGTTCTGAAACAAAAAGGCTTCAATATCATTGGAACTAAATGGGTCTTCAGAAGCAAGCTAAGTGAACAAGGAGAAGTCGCTAGAAACAAAGTACAACTGGTTGCACAAGGTTATAATAATCAAGAAGGGATAAAATATATAAAGACCTTTGCTCTGGTCGCCAGGTTAGAATCTATCAGACTTTTAATTTCATTCGTTGTAAATAATAACATCACTCTCTATCAGATGGATGTCAAAAGTACCTTTTTAAATGGTTACATTGATGAATAAGTATATGTGCACCAACCCCTGGCTTTGAAAACACAAAACATCCAGAGTGTGTTTATAAACTCAAGAAATTGTTATATGGTCTGAAACAAGCTCCTAGAGCTTGGTATGAAAGACTAAGTAACTTTCTCTTAGAAAAATAATTTACCAGAGAGAAAAAGAATGTCATTTAAAAAATGACATTATGATTTGTCAAATTTATGTTGATGATATTATATTTGGATCTACTAAAGCCTCACTGCGCAAAGAGTTTGCTAAGTCCATGCAGGCAAAATTTGAAATGAGTCTGATGGAAGAACTCAAGTTCTTTCTGGAAATTCAAATTAATCAAACTCCAGAAGGAACCTTTATACATAAAAGTAAATATGTTAAAGAACTTGTGAAGAAATTTGATATGTCAGAAAGCAAGCCATCCAAAACTCCAATGCATCCTACATGCATTCTGGAAAAGAAGAGGTAAATAAGAAAGTAGAACATAAGCTCTACAGAGGTATGGTTGGTTCTCTCCTTTATTTAACTGCTTCAAGACCTGATATTCTCTATAGCATTTGTCTACGGGCTAGATTTCAATCATATCCTAGAGAATCTCACTTAACAATAATTAAGCGAATTTTCAGGTATCTGAAAGATACTACTAATCTTGGTCTTTGTTATAGAAAATCCCGAGAATATAAATTAGTAGGATACTGTGATGTGGACTTTGATGGAGATAGAATAGAAATAAAAATCACTTCCGGAAGACGTCATTTTTTGGGAGACAACTTAATATCTTGGTCCAGTAAAATAAAATCCACCATTGCACTATCAACTGCTGAGGCTGAATATATAGTTGCAGCTAGATGCAGTACTCAGATGCTCTGGATGAAAAGTTAGCTTGAAGATTATCATATATACGAGAATAACATTCCTATCCTCTGATAATACTTCTGCTATTTATCTTTCTAAAAATACTATTTTTCATTCTAGGGCTAAACATATAGAAATTAAAC